CAACATCACACTCTGCACAACTCTGCTTTCAAAACCTATTACAACATCACACTCTGCACAACTCTGCTTTCAGGACCTATTACAACATCACACTCTGCACAACTCTGCTTTCAGAACCTATTACAACATCACACTCTGCACAACTCTGCTTTCAAACCTATTACAACATCACACTCTGCACAACTCTGCTTCCAAAATCTATTACAACATCACACTCTCAGATTTCAATGGCTGGAGGTTATGTAGCAGTTTCTTTTCTAACTCTGTGATCTCAGCGTGTAAGTTATGGTGACAGAGCCTTTTCAGATGTTGCACCTCAACTTTGGAACTGTCTGTCACATGAGATCAATGACACCAGCAAATATCAGTCCTTTCTCAAGGCAACTCAAAACATGTCTTTTTGCGTTGGCTTCTTCCATCAACTGAGAATGTTCCTTGCATGTAGACCTGCATCTCTCAATGGTCTCTGGGGATAGTGTCTGTCATAAATGTTCTGTAATTATTCTATTATTTACAAAAGCTCACACAGGAAATTTAACTGAAAAAAAAAGAAAATTGTATCAAAAATGTGTGTTTTTCAAGTATGTATGTTCCAATTCAGTATGCCTTAAAGATTCCACAAATCTGCAAGTATACGTACTGGTATGTGATACTGTAAGTTAGTTTTTTCATCAACTTGCCTTATCCTACTCAGGTTGTCAGTTCCCCTTTATTCTTAGGTCATTTAGAGCATTGGCATTTTCTAATGCTATGCCTTTGTCTAAGTAGGTGTGACTCTTTTAGCACGTACCGTAGGACATCTAATATTTCTTGAAGAAATGATGCGAGAGGCATGTTTGATGAAGAAAAATGTTCTCAAGTCTCCAGCCAACCGACGGTATAAGAATACATGCCTAAGGAATACGAATTCTGCCTGAGCAGATTGAGTTGCAACAAAGATCTTGCTGGCAGTTGTGGTTCTTCCTTTGAACTTGTTTTTGGACTCACAATGGGTGAGCTGGGATTGAATTTCCAGAACTGCACACAGAATTACCCTGGGGGATTATTGGCTTTGTGTGAGGGAAAGGGTTATGGAAAATGTTCCTCTTTTCTGAAGAGGCGTAGGCACCGTTTATTCTTTGTGTTTGTGTACTAGTGGGCCTCACAAACACTTATACAGTAGGGCTACCGGTAGCTTCCAGAGGAGCACAGATCTTGCTCAACATTAAGCATTTATTTATTTTTCTGTTTTAATTGTAGCCCTTTGAATCTTAAATTTGGGTTTATTTCGACAAATACATGTATATCTGAACTTCGACTGCCAAAAAATTATAATAAATTAAATTGCAAATGGAAGCAAATCGACCAAAAAGAATTTATCAACATGCCACAAATAAACAGTTGCACATCTGCTTCATTCACCAGTTTGTTATCAAAACAGTCACTAAGGACACTCAATTCAATTTTCACATGAGAAGTTTCCTGATATTATTCATCCGTTTCCACCATGATGAATGTATCTTTTGTAATCGCTGCTCCTGGATGTTCAATATGAAAAACAAAGACCAAAATGAGTTGAGTATTTCTACATGTTCAATTTTTAAAAATCTATCGAACCAGATTGAAACAAGATTGCTTTTCTGCTGCTGAGGTTCAAGTTTTTTATGATGTTTTTATTTTACGGAACTGCCCAATTTTGTTTCAAAATGAAGGACTGGCTGAGCAAATATTGCTTAACAGACATCAACTGAGAACCAGCCAAAAGCTGTTTACAAGTTACAATGCATTTTAACTGATGACCTACTCTCACTATCAGCAGTATTTGTTAGTGCTTAGCAGATACATGTATGTGTGGTTAGCTGCATTAATTTGGCCCCAGGTGTGATCCATCAGGTATTTGAGAATCACACTTGAGGTTTTAATTTATGCATGAGGGCCTTAACTTTGTATGTAGAGTGCTCTACGTAGAAGCCAAACACCTGTGCGAATGAGAAACAGATGGAATACTTTAATCATTTAATTAAAAAAGGAGAATTGCTAATCAAAGTCCATGATGATAATTGTGGACAAGTGGATGGCTTTGTGGAATAAAAATGAAAAGGAAAGTTGATTGCTGACGAAGATGAAGGATGTGGCACCAGTTTACACATGTTGTTAATATCATTTTCCTCGCTTTTTACCAGGATAATGGTGTGTTTAACTGTGTACGTTTGAGTTAAAGATCAAACTTGAGATTGAAAGTCTTTGTAGACAGTAAATTTACAAATCTTTTGTAATTTTCATCTTGCTGTCACACATTTTGATCTTCTGTTGACTCATATCAGATGCTTTTTTCAACATAAGCAAATATGTATGCAGGCACACAAGTTTAAATGTCAAGCTTCAAACAATGTAGTTTCACAACGTAATGGACATGGACAGTTGTTTTTAATATTGTCACCCATTTGTGTCATTGCTTCTGTTCCGATACTCCCACTTAGAGGATATATTCTGAAATCTGATTATCTGACCAGAAGACAGTACATACATCTACCAGTAAATCATCCAACACCCACATACACACCCCAGGGACAGTATTCTAAGAGTGGCAGGGTATTGAGGATTATAATGAACCCAGGCAAATAGGTGTTTTTTTTATACTGATGAACAAAGTTTCATTAAGACATCCCTGATAGCAAAGCTTTGTGGATACCTCTGCACTCTAATGAATTCAGATTAGAGACTTTCATGTACACTGGCCGTATGCATTATAAATTCAGCCCACTCAGTTATTAGAAAGTTGATCCTGTTAGACTTCCTGGGCTGAAGTTTTTCCCTCGAATGAATAGATCTGTTGTGACTCTGGCTATACCCAGACCGCCATTTCTACCCTCTTCTACCCACACACATCCTCCTCTGTATTCATGTGATTTAGTCTTCAGTGCAGTTGTCCTTGAAAATCCTTTCGTTTTCGTTAATGTTTTGTTGTCGCAATGCACATAAAGAAATCAGTTTTAATAATCAACGTGGCAATCTGTCATTCATTGATCGATTTCTTTTGTTTTGTCAGGCATCCAATTTGGAAGTCAAACAGGAATGGATTCGTAAGATGAGGGACATAGTCACTGAACGACAAGTCCATTTACGTGCAGGTTTGCAACATCTCCCTGCCAATTGTTATCTCCGCTTTTTCTCTCCGGCATCCCGACTCAGTGATACCTTTTAATATCAAACACACTAATATTTAGTTGTGAAGAAAATGAAAAGGTGTGCTTTAGAATGAAAAAAAATTGATTGGTGACTGAGGAAACTGAATTTCTGCAGCTAGTCATTTAACTTTTTGGAACTTGTACCCCAGCTCTTATGGATTCCACCAAGCTAACAGCACCCAAATTTGCTGCCAAGAATGCCTCATCATCCAGAAGCTTGATCCAGAAAACCACAAGGTATTGTGAACATTGATGATTTCACATTCAAAGACCATGTGTGAAGTGGTGTGTTGTCTTTTGGTCTGGAAGTCATCATTTTCATTGGATTGGCTGCTTAGTCCACAAGAAAGTAAAAATCAAACAGTTTTGGATACTGTAAGGGAAGTACATACATGTAACTTGGTGATAAGCTGGGTTCTTGAAAACCGTTTTGAACAGGGCTGAGATGCTGCTTGGATTTCAGTTTTCCATTTTGAAGTTCTTACCTCCAATTTGTTCCCATTCAGGGGTGCAAATCTTGAGGACAGTTTCCTTGACGATCTTCTGCTGCCCCCTAGAGGTGACCGAGACTCACTCAATTCCGTCTCCACAACAAATACGACTGCCACGGTAGACAGTGACAAAGTAAGGATATATCCTTTGAATCTCATTTTTAATTCCACAAGCGTCCTAAAGGGCATGCTTAAAAACATGTTCACTGTGTTCCATGTTGGTTCTGTTAAAATCATTACAATGTAATAGGTGCTCGAGGTACAGAGCACCAAGAATACTTCAGCGATGTATGTGAATTTTCTTAAAAATCTTTAATTCAAAGCCCCGTTTGCTGTCGTGTCCAACTGTGCATGACAGTTACACTATGCGAACTTTGTAGTTCAAAAGTTTACAAATTTTAGACTTGTTGATGTGCAGCACAGAGTGTACATACTAGAAATACTAGAGCATACTAGAAATTTGGATCACATAGTCACTTCAGTAGACGAGAGGTGTATTTCAGATATGCCATAAAATTGCCTTATTTTAACTGTTCATTGTAATTCATGTGACCTTCACATTAAATCATCTGCTTTTGCAATTGATATGGCCATCTTTTGATGTTTGGGTGGAAGATGTTGCCTTACGAGCAGGCATCCTTATGTGTTTCAAGAACAACATATGATGCAAGGTTCCATAATCCTGCTGTGTTACTTTGATTTGTATTCCAGCAAATACCGGTAGATAAGATTCCAAACCAAGGGACAACAATGAAGTTCTAATATGTAGATGGGTACATTGGATGTATTTTCACTGCAGTAGGATCCGTCCATCTCAGATACAACATAAATTTAATCACGCTTGATGTCATGCCAAATTGGTTGAGATTATACGCAGCATTTAAAAGACTGACTTAGCTGGATGGGGAATCTTGAGGCATTTCAACTCCCCTCCCTTCCCTCAACTCCGGCAGTCAAATCTATTCCAGAGAGCAACCTTTCATCAACTCCTTCCAGTTCAGCGAGTCCTCGGAAATCAAATTTAGAAGCAATCTAGCCGACCCCCAGCTTTCTCCACTGACGTTAACAAGAAGCATCATTGCTACAGCATTGCTATGCTTTTCATTTGATGATGTCACTGGATGTGGTCCGTTGGGGCACAGGGAGGGTTATGAAGATGCTCTCTAATGTATAATTGGTTATCTTTCATCATTTGTCAAGCCAATGTTTGGTAAAACTTGTTAATGGAATGTAAATTCCAAGTATCCATCTCTTTGTTTGACATGAAGTAAACATTTGGCATGTAAAAAAATTTTAAAGAGGTTTTATTGTCACATGAAAACAACAAACCATACCAAGTTTTTGTTGAGTTACAGTCGAGCTCTTACAACCAGGTAGAAAATATTTGGAGATATTGTAAATCATCACATATTTGTCTTCCTGCTATACCTTTCTCAATGCCAACGTCTTACATGTATGTCTTGACAGCTTTAACATTTTTCAACATTAACAATTTATTTTTCACTTTTTTTACCATTTATACTTTTTGTCTATAGAATTAAGCATTTTCCCCGCTAGTTAGTCAAGCGAGTAATATTTATGTCTAGTTTCAAATTTACAGGTTTGGAAAGACAGTTTTCTTGGACTGAATGATTTTTTATATATGCTCCTTTCATCATTCTAACAAACCTGAATGTTTCGCAGTTAAAGCACTTACTAAATGCAGAGTTTGATTCACAAACCAAGAAGTGAAACAACTGATTTAGTTAAGCCTATTGATTTCACTTTTTTCACAAATTTACAAGGATGTTACACATTTACCACTGCCCAGTATTTAGGGAAGATTCTAGTCCTCTCTGAAATTAATATGTGAGATGCAGAGAGTACATTTTTATTTAGATCAACATTGTCTATTATTCATTTTTTTTCTGCCGATGGGGGTTGAGAGAACCTTCCATCACTTCCAATTTCCCCCCACAACTTGACATTTAAAATCCATTCTCTAGCCTGCTCAGGTTTCCTTGAAGTGATTGAACTTAGACCTGATGTGCTGAAGAACAAATTGTATGCTGTGCAGAACCTGTGAATCAGTGACTTACTGAAATATTTTTCCTCAGATGAATGTCTGATGCAAGATAACCAGTTTGTTTAAGTTTTTTCGTGGGCCATGAGTACACGTTGAAATTCTAAGTTGTGTTTACATTGCAGGCAAGAATGCAAAGAAAGCAGCACTATAAATCAAATCAATAGGTGTAATCTTTAAATTACTGCTTCAGTACTTCATTTTTTCTAAGTTCCCAAATAGTTTTAGTTGGAAATTCAGCATCACAGTCACATTATTCATATTCATCACACAAGCTTTTGAGAGAAGTAATCTGAACACAAAGCCATATTGAATGGAATTAGTTAATATTGTTCTGAGTTATATTTGAAAAGAGCAAGGATTTGCTTGTATCACAGAGTAAGAAGGCAGAGCTTTAAAAAAAAACTGCTCCTAGAAATATGCCTTGGCAAAACAAACCCGACTTCATTTCCTGATCCCCAATTCAAGCTCTTATTCCCTCCTTATGAACTCAAATGACCTCCTCATTTGTCCCCATATTCCCCCTTCTAATCCAGCTTTCCTTTGCTTGGACAAACAGCCTAGTTACTAGGCACACGAAGGCTTGATATATATGTATTATACCCTCAACTCCAAGCTTCTATTGATTCTCACCTCCTTATTTAGATAAGGCACTCTTATAGCAGGAGGTGGTGTTTTTATTCTAGGCCAAGGCAGGACATGGCTGAAAATCCCTGGACCTTTTAGCATAACAATCATTTGATAGAGCTGGATTTGTTGAAGCATGAAGAGACATACCGGGAAGTGGAAAATGGGCCTTGCATAGAAAGCTAAAAAAAAATGACGATAAAGTTAGGTCTGAATGAAGCCATCTTTGTAAATGCACTTCTCATTTCTCTCCTTGTTCAACTAAAATAAGCCGTGTCCGCATTACTTGGCTGTGGCCTGTAATTACACACAAGTCTATGGTAGTGGCCCCGGCCAGTTGCCATAGAGTCGTGTGTGATTTCAAACCATAGCCAAGTAATTTGCATGCGGCCATATTAAACACTCAAAAAGATGGACTCAGGCCAAACCTCAAATGGCCACATTAATCTATAAACCTATAAACCATTAGACATATAAGGTACTCAATGAAATTTTTTTCTCACAAAATGTGTATAGACCACAGAATTTTCAGAACATAAAGTAAACCGAAAGGAACTGGCATCTTTCAATTCTGCATCAATCTTTTTGATGAAATGAAAGCATGCCCCCAACTTTTTTACCTGCAGCATGATAATCCCTATGTGATGACAACTTGCTGATATTAATGATAGTAATTAATCATATTGAAACACATGTTTGGACATTTTCACATTTCAATTCACATTATAATTTGTAATTTATTTATTTGTAATCCTACACTACATGTGTCCATGAAAAAAATCAAAGCAAACCCACCTTGAGCACAGCAGTCCAACACTTCATCATTACCTGAATAGTATTCCAAAACAAATCAATTCTTTTCTCCTACTGTTTGATTTTTATGGTTCACAATATTTCATCCCAATTGAGTGCTTACAGTGCTCCTAGTGGACAGTAGTCGGGGGTTGAACAGGAGTGATATTTAGCAGATGTGAAGGGCAGAAAGGTGCCATGCAAGGCAGTGGCCAGGAGATTCTAGGCTGACATTTAAAAATGTTAAATGGCAAAAGTCACTTGATAGGAAGTGAACATGTGGGAGAGTTGGAGTATGTACTTTGATAGGGGTGTAGATTTGTAAAGATATAATTCCTGTTAGTGACAGGTTGTATGTATGTTGTAAAATACACTACCCCTGCTAATCCCATCCATTCTGATTTTACTGTGTTTGCCATAGTTGGAAGTGCATATTCTGTTGTCTGTTTGTGACTTTTGTTACCGAGGGATTTGTGAGGCATGATAATCGCTAACTGATGAGACAGTTTGACTTTTGAATAAACCAAAGGGTAAAAGAATAAAACATAGATCCTTGCTGGCATGTTAGTATAGTCCTAAAAAACCAGATCTGACTAATCACATTGGATTCAAATCCTGAAGCCCCCAACATGAAACTTACTAGACCATTGTCTCAATTGAAGATTGTGTGGAAATTGTAAGGTTTATATATATATATATATATCAGCCAATGAGAGGTTTTCATTAATACCAATGTATTAAAAATGCATTCAAAAGGTGAAACAGAACAGTGACTGTTCCGGTACATGTGTGACAGATACCATTTACAGGCTATGACATCTTGCAAAAAAATCAGTGCACAACAAAAAGCTCCGTAGCAGCAATTTAAAAAAAAAAAGGATATATAGATCACAGTTCCAAAATACAAGCAACCCCTTTCGAAGTGTATTTTTCATAATCGTAGGAATTCTTCCAAAATTACATCAGCAGAAATAATCTCTTGACAAACAAAAGTTCAGGCAAACGACTTTTGGAAGGTCTGCACTGATGGTTATACCTACAGGCATGGATATTCACTGAAATGAGTGTGTACATGTATGTTCACCTTGGCAGTGCGCTTGATGAAATTCAATATTTGGTACAGGTGCAGTGTAAGATTTTGAGTACTAGTAAAACTCGTTAGCATGGTGATTGTTAGCTACAGAGCCTGAAGAATGAAAAACTCTACCCAGAGGTAACAGACAGTATTGCACTTTATCCATGTTTCCTACATAGGGCATACAATATCATGTGTCATCGGACTATTTGAAGTAAGAAGAGCAACCCCCTGCTTCCAATATGCGACAGCACCACATTCCTGATTCTTCAATGCTGGGATAGCCCAATCCATTGTGTTTGTGGGGTATTTTACAAAACTGATTAAGGAAGAGGTGCACCCTGAGGCAAATTTATGTAACTGCCATTACTTTTCGGTCAGAAAAAAAGGGTTATTAAGAATGATAAGAGGGCCTAGGCAATTTGCAGTGAAGTGAGGTTTGCATAAAATGCATCAATGGATCGAGAATATAGGTTATGTCCACAGGGCAGGGTTGGAGCTTGGGAAATAGGGATTGAAGAAAATTGAAATTTGAAAGAATTGCAACAAAATGAATGCAGTGGACAATTATAAGTAATTGAAGCAGGTGTTTGGGTAATTTTTGCAAATACCTGAAGGGAAGAGAAGTTGTTTATATTTTTATGTTTTATATTTTGTCACATCCTGTAAAAGCAATTTAAGCAACATATTGCCAGAGCTGAAAGGAAAACGTTTATCACCTAATTAAAGAACCAATAGACTCCTCATCACTGTGCAGCCCATATTTTTGGATTGAAAGACTTTCTTCAGTCTCATCTGAACTGAATAGACAAAAAACAGAAATCCAGTTATTTCATAGGTTTGGGCATTTCCTCTGAATTTCTCAGTCAGAACAGTACAAGCACTTCAACAATATCAATGCAAAATGTAGTTATACCACTGACTGTTTGAACAGTGCTTCAGCTCAGTGTGAATAGAGAGTTTATATATATACATCAGTGTTTATATTTTGAAGCAATCAGTAATTGTTAAACAGCCCCAGGAGACTAGCCTACTGGCATTTGTAGCTATACAACTGAACTATCAATAGTAATATCTTGATTGAGGCGTTAGTGTCAACACCTACAGTGTAGTAGTGGTATAGCTGTACGTGATTGACAGGCTTGAGATTATATCAAGAGAAAGGAAACTGATAACTGCAGTTGCAGGTTTCCCACAGATTGTCCTTGATACATTGTATAAGGAGAGCTTGAAAGAAAAAATGAACACAGGCAGCCAGTGTATCATATTCTACATATACAACATGTGACATTTCAAACCAAACCATTTCAATGTGCAGTATATTAATGTGATGAGAATTTAACTAAAAAGGTTCTTTTATGCTTATGTTGTAGCATTTTCTCTCATTCCATGATTATTTTACTGCAGTGAACTGTCTAGAATGTTCACATCTCGGCATCTAACAGTATGCAGTAACCAGTCGGTGTATTTTTTAATCTTAAAACAATGTGGGAAGTCAAGACCCATGCAAACAGTATCTGAAATCCACAGTTCTATAAAACATAAGAAACAGCCAACAAATTCAGAAATGAATTTGTGCAGATTAGGTAAGATTAGGGTTCTCCTTGCTGCCCTTCTTGAGCATTCTTGAGAGTTATATGATAAATGTTCCTTGTCGCCCCTTGCAACAATTGCGTCATACTTTTTCTTTTTTTTCCCCAAGGACCTGAGAGAAAGCTCAGAGTTTGTTGTGGTCGTTGAAGACTTTGAAGCTCACCACCCTCAGGAGATCTCTGTCCAGAAAGGGCAGACAGTGGAGGTACTGGAACGACTGTCTACACAGCCAGACTGGGCCTTGGTGAGAGCATTATCACCAGACCACACAGGACCTGTCCAGGGTTTGGTACCATTGAGTCATCTAGTGGCATCAAGCTCTGAATGTTCAGGTAAGTGGTGTGAGTAGTAACTTTTAGGAGAGTTTAGGTCAGCCAGTCAGTGATTTTGATGTTAATATGTGCCAGTGCTAGTGGGGGAAAATAAGTTGGTGGAATGGAAGTTGCAGTGGGTATTATATACCGTAATCAGCCAATCTTGTGAAATTACAACAAAAAACCAAAGGTGTTCACTACCTTTACAAGTGCAGTGACATTGCCACGCATAAAAGGCATATTTGAAGCAAATACAAAAGTGCAGCGAATTTGATGTCACAAAATATTTGCTCTTGAGTTGAAATGTGTTCAATCTCTGCGAATTGGCCGCACAAATGACATTACAGTGTCACATTCATGTCGGTATGAACCAATCTAATAAAAGGTGTGGTTTATTCAATTGATTGTCCTGCCCGATACCAGTTCAAATGTAATGCTGTTGATGTTAAATTCATTTACAATAGAAGTGGGATGGGTGAAGAGCGTGAAAAATCACCATTCAACCTGTCAAGATAAATTGAAAATGTCTTCGTCTTGAGTGATTGTGTGTGAATGATTACAAGTGGTGATAAAAGAAAAGATGAGAGATTAAAGGACCCTAGTTTACAGATGAGGATTCAAACAGCTAAATGGAGTCTTGCAAAAGAGAAAGTGAGATGTGGACTGTTTAGAAAATCCAATGAAGAGTGGAATTTGAGCTGTGAGAATGTAAAATTGAACCGAATGGGGGAAATTCCCATCCAGTTTTCATTCAGTGAAAAGGATTGATGGATGCAATCAAGGGTCTTTCCATCGGCATTGAAGCATCAGGATATTGACATTACTATGGTGACTGTATGTGTGGAGTGGCCATTGATAACTGACCTGCGGTCAGGAAAACTGACATGATGGACCAGAGTGGTGACACTTAGAAACCATGCCACGCTTTTTCGTTCGTGTGGGCATTTCTCTCCTCAAAGAGTTGGTTTACATGTACTTTGCATACCCATGTACATGAACCGGTATGCATTTTTGTGAGCGGGTATCAGTTGTGTATTGTGAAATGTGAGAGACATAAAAATGTTAATGCATGATTTGCAATATGTCTGCATGCACCAGTGTCTGTCAGTGGAGTGCAGTGTTCATGTTAAATTGCTCTTGACGACCTCCTCCGTGTACAATCCCACTCTATCCTTGACACATTTTATTGCGTTTTTTTAAGTGTCAGGTAATGATTGCATGGGTTACTGCTTGCATGGTTTAGTAACTAGAGAAGATTTCTGTCATTGTAAGTTGAATCATTGCTTGTAACTAGCTTTTGTTCATGCTTTAAACTGTGTTCTGTTATGTGCCAAATACCCCGGTACAAATGTTTTTTCTCTTTTTTGTCTACGTAAAAGGAAGATTACCACTTCATAGAAAATAGAATATTGAGAGAGGAGAAAATGTATGCCTCAGAAGGTGAAAGAGTTAATCCTTACATGTATTCTTGTCCTAGAATATATTATTTCTTCAAAGTTACCAATGAAGCACCAAAAAGGAATTCACCTAATTGTGCTTAAAAGATGTTACATGTGTTGCTTTATGACACCCAAACATGGTTACCCCTGCAACTCTTGAGTTAATGACAGCTTGGCCTGATGGGTAATTTCCAAAGCAGCAAGAAAGGATTATCCCATTACTCTTAAAAGGTTACCTTACAGCACCCAGAGAAAATTAGCCCCATCTCACCAAGAAGAGGTCTCCTACACAGCAGCCTGAAAATGCTAACCTGTTACACTTGTAAAGGTTACTCTACAGCATCCAACAGCACCCCGACAGTGTTAGCCCCAGTTCACCCAGAAGAGCTAGGTCTCTCACACAGCAGCCTGAAAATGTTAACCCATTACACTTGAAAGGCTTACCCTACAGTACCCAGAGGGTGTTAGCCACAGCTTACCTGGAAGGGGTCTGTCACACAGTAGCTTGTGGTATTACCCCATAACACCCAGAAAGAATACTCTACAATACAGGGTACCTGTATCCACAGAGCTAGAGTTTGCCCCCAGTTCACCCAGAATGGGTCTCCCACACTAGCTTCAAAAGCTTACCGCATTACACTCAGAAAGATTACCCTACAGCACAGGTCTAGAGAGTTAGTCCGCAACTTTCCTGCAAGGGAAAACATCCTCAGCAGCAAGACAGGGTTAATTATTCCAACTCACTGGCTACCCCACATCAGCAATAGAGTTTAAGCCCAAATAACCCAGACGGGTAACTTGCACAGCTGCAAGAAAGGATTACTTGTCCCATTTGTCACAGAAAGGTTACTTTATAGGAAGACAAGAGTTAACCTGAGCTTGCCCCCAAGGGGTAACATCTACTGCACCCATTGTTGCACCCAGAAAGTTTACTCTGCAACACCTATAATAACCTCAGCTCATCCAGGTCCATTAAACTCCACTGGAGGTACACTCTACCGAGGTGTTTCCAAAATGGATGTCAGCCTAATGCTTTATTTAAAACTGTTTGCCACTTTAAAGGTACGTATGTAAATGGGACCTTAAACACAGCTACATGTATGCCTAGCAGTTAATGCCCCTTCTACTTGCGTAAATTGTACAGAGTTTCAATACGAGTATGAAGTGCAAACACATCACATAGTTTTTGATTTGAAAAAGGGATGCCCAAAAAGTTGGTTTATCTAAGAGTGTCCAACACCATAGTGTTTTGAACCAGTTTCTGGTACGGTGAAATGGTTGGACAAACCTTTTATCAGAACTGAAATTCACTTTATATGTATATCAAACTATAATCATGCACTCGTTTAAATTATTCAAAGTATACATGTACATGTATCCCTATGAACATCTAAGAAAAGAAGCATGGTGTAATAACAATGGATGCTTATTGGTAGTGAGCTATTGGTTGACTCATGGTTGGTTTGTGACCCACCTTCCACTTCTACAAACCTCCCCAGTTCAAATGAACTCTAGAAGACTGCTGTGAAATCTCACTATGAACATCTAAGAAAAGAAGCATGGTGTAATAACAATGGAAGTTGAAATTATTAGTGCTCTGTGTTTATTTTGTTAGATGTTCATAGTGTATGCCCAACACTGCAAAATTGTCAGTTAATAAACATCAGTAGGGTTGGCTTTGTTGCAGCTAAAAACAGAATGACATCTGGTACATTTACTGGAAATTCATGAAAACCCATGAGGTGTATTAAGTTATCCCAGCAACATTTATCCCACCCCGCCCTGACCTCCCCATTTGCACAGTGCCTATCCCTAATTACCATTTCATCCACTGCTTTGTGTTACCCCTGCGGTCTCCCTCTAAAACAAAACCTGTGCTTTGTTAAGGTTCATGTTGAGACAGTTCCAGCTTGTGATGATGTAGGTAATCTTTGAACATGCTGCATGATTGATGACAGGATTGAGCCTAGGTACCAGCATATTTGTCCTTTCTCTATGGTACCTTCTGAGATTTGGTATTGCGTTAACATTCTGTCATGTTTATGTGCTGACAGAACTACATTTACTGGTAGTCTAGCTTTGAGTTAATATAAACCCCTACCAGTCCTATAAAGAGATCATGTTTTACTTAAATCAGTTAACACCCATATCTTATGACAGATGTTCATGACTTCAATTCAATAATGCCCTGCTATTGGCTAGTATTGGATTATCAAAATGATTGCGTGGAAACAAAAGACCTCATTCAAAAGGGAAGTTGTTAATTGACAAATTTTGTACCAGTTTTGTTGAGCAGTTTAATTCTGTGGAATATTCATATTAAGTCCTGAGAAAGCAGCCTTAAAGCTTATAGAATATGCCAAGAATTAATGAGCCTACCTGCTACATCTAAACTAGTAAATCTGCGTATCCTTAATCATTTAATAAATACAGAAATGAATATATTCTTTAATGTGCCCTATCCTTATCATTATGATGAGGGATTTTGTTTCTGCCAAGGACATCTATTGCTGCATAATGCATATGCCAGAGATCACCTCAGCCGTGAATGAACACAGCTGGTTCACTGCAAACGTGTCAGTCTCCACACCTCAGTCACTCTATATCATGTACAGGAAGACTTCAGGGGCTGAGCTATCGGCCTTTTGGTTGCGGCAATCGGACATTCTGAACTTATATGAGACATTGATGTATGGCTGTGGTCATTAACATGGTGCTTATAACAAGTGCTTTCTGGTCATGTTTGTAACAAGTATTTGTGCAAGGTCTTCAACTCATCCTGTAGCACACACAGCCTTTGGCCAAGTATATTGTAACAGGAGAGCTATGGATTGTCAGCTTCGATTGGAAATGAACAGAATTAATGAATTGCCATTTTAGCAGTGGTTCTCAGCTTCGGAAAAGCAACACTACAGCTTGTGTATTGCAGAGATAAAGAGGTTGACAGAAAAGTTGATGCTATTTCCTTTAAATATCTACAACGCGATGAAGGGTTTAAAAGATACAACCAGATTTCTACACATATCCATTTTGGGAAATTGTCCGGATACGGATAGAAATTTTTCTGATGGTAATTGGACATTTAAAGGGACTGTGAAATAGAAATATTTTACTAAATCCCTTGAAATTGCACTTTGGGTTTTAATTTACCTCGTGTTGAATTTTTGTTTTCCAATTTAAACCCATATTTTGGATTTTTTTATGCTAATGCCTATATGCATATTCATGAGCAAAACTATGATGTTATCCAAGGCACTGAGCCTCAATGTTGCACTGATTTGTGCACAGGAAATTTCTAGATTTTTCGAAACACTGCTATTATAGATTTTATTTCCTTTGGAAGTTTACTGTTTTGTAAGTATATGTCAATAAGAAGCAAGCAACCATTTCGTTGAAATAGTTTCGGATAGCAAATTTGGAGTTAACAATTTGAACATAAAGACTTGCAACCTGAACCATGTCTTCCTGGATTGATATCATAACAAAAGCACCCTCACTTGTCCAGAAAGGCTTCGTCAAATTTGAATGTTTAAAACAATTGCACTTTTCAGTTCCTGTAGCTCAAAACAGATATGTCAA